AGTGACTTCTGCCTCCCCCCAGTCGCCTGATCTAGAGGCTGGCAAGATGCAGGTTTCTGTCTCCATCTCAGAGCCATAAAAAACCACTTGTCAGGCTAAGCAAGGTGGCCAAGGGCACTGCCAGTCCAGGCCTTCTGACTTTCTCTCTGCACATGGCCTGCAAAGCCCAGGCCCCACAGCAATATGTCAACTGACTTCTCTGAGTAGGGAGCGAGGGGGCCGCTGAGAAGCAGAATTTGTGTTTACCAGCTGGCTTCTTGCCTCCAAAACAACTGTGCTTGCCAGGCCTGCATGTGCCAGGTACTTGCGCGTCCTCCGGGTGCCTGAGGCTCCTCTGGGAAGTGAACGAGTGAGTGCTGCAAGCCCAGGCAGGCACCTTCTGAGCTGGGGAGTATTTGCTGCCCCCAAGGCTTCTCTCCAAGGGTGGTCCTCCTTAGGTTGCAGACAGGGCTCTCCTTCCGCACTGTGCGTTTCCGACTCTCACCATGGCAGTGTTACTGGCACCAGCCAAGGTAAGGCCTAGAGTCTCATGGGACCCCTTCATCGCAAAACCCAGCTGAGGTGGATCACGAGGTGAGAGCAGGACACCCCTGACCTTACAGGCAGCGTAAACTGCTCTCCAGGCAGGTAGAGACTTTACTCATAGTGGAACACTGTACCAAGAGGTAATATACAACCAACGTCAAGGCATTTGGTAGATAAGGAGCAGTGAAGTCCTAAGAGCAATGTGATAGGGAATCCTGGAGCTGAGAGGCTGAGGTATCCAGAGAACGAACATGTGCCGAGACCTAGCGAGCATAGCCAGAGCTTCCCGAGGGCGCAGAACTAGAGGACCTCAGGGAGGGGAGAAGGCAATCTCTGGGGATGGGCAGTGGGGTGAAGCACTGTTTTGGAAGGATGCCCCCTCCACAGGCTCTGGAGGAGAGGGCACAGCCAGGACTGTCAGGTGCTCTGGGTTTCAAAGGGTTCTGACCCATTTTGCCACACATGCATCAGCCTTATTAGATCACATGTCCTGATTTCTAGACAGTAACTCCATTGTGCTTTAGGACACAGTGTCCCAGGGACACATTCACAAGAAAAAAACTTGGCCAAGTATCTAGGGAGACAAAGATAGATTATGTGAAGAAATAGAAATGTCTGGCACAGCTCTGGGCCAGCCATGGGACCTCTGGGTCAGGTAATGCGAGTGCCCAGCCCAAGGGACCAGTGGTGGAGACAATAGAAGAAGTGTCGCTCAGCCAGCAGTGCATGCCAAGTCCAAGCCACCCAAGCCAGCATGCCCGGTCCTCGGGTCCTCCCGGGCAGCGAGGTGCAGAGGGGCTGCGCAGCTTAGGTGGCTCTGATGGCCCAGGCCTGGGGCTCTAGGTCCACAGCTCTGGAAGCCCTGCAGTGAAGCCCTGCTGGGTAAAAGCTAAGAAGCAATTCAAAGCTGTGGTGTTCATGGCGGGGGTGGGGGGTAAGGGGTGGCCAGAAGGACCAACGTGTTTCTTACAGAGCACTGTGGCTTCCGAATGTGCTGGACAAAAAGACTTTGTTTGAATCCTTAGTGGGCAGTTTCTCCTTTTTGCAAAGTCAGCTCTGTTGATTTGCATACAGTAGACTCATTGACTTTGTAAAGTTCAATGTTCTTTGTTAAGTTCAGCAAATCTGACAAATACTGATATTCACGCGGTGACTACTGTGGGTGAGGGACAGGACAGCTCCATCATCTCAACCTTCCCTTTGCCCCTTTTGCTCAATCTTCTCTCCCCTTCCCCAGCTCTGCAGCCACTGCTCTCTTCTGCTTTGTACCCATTCTCGCTGTGTCTGTGTGTCTTGGTGAGTTTATACATGCTCCAGTTAGTGGGCTTTGGGCAGATTACAGCTGTTGGCTCTTAGGAAAAGAACTGCTATAAACATTTGGGCATAGCTCTTTATTGGGCTTATCATCACCTTATTTATCTTGGGCCCATTGCCAAGAGTGAGCTTGTGGTTTGTTTGGTAAATGTCTGTTTAATTTTGTAAGACACTGTCAAAGCATTTCCCAGTCACTGGATCCTCTTACATTTGCACAAGCAGTATGTGAGAGGTTCGGTTAGCACTGTGCTCTTGCCAACACTTGATGCTAATAATCTTTTCAGTTGTATCAGTTCTAGTGGGGATGTAATGGTGTCCCGTGTAGTTGCTTATGCATTTCCCTGATGACTAGTAGTGAACATCTTTTTAAGTGCTTGAGATTCATGTGTCTCTGCTAAAGTATCTATTTAAAACTTTTGCCCATTTCTAAAAATTCTATTAGTATATGTTTGTGATATATAATATTGTACTTGTATTTGTTTTGGGAAAATGTTTGCTCACCATTAAGATTTTTGTTAGCTGTATGTTTTTCATAAATACCCTTTATCAGACTGAAAAAGTCCGCTTCTAGTCCCAGTTTGCTGAGAATTTTTATCATGAATTTGTTGAATTTTGTCAAATCCTTGTTTTTTATCTATGGAGATTATCTTTATGTTCTATTTTGATCTGTTTCTATGGTAAGTCATTGATTGATTTTAAATATTAACTACCTTATACTCAGAGGAACTATTTCTTGGTATTGATATATTATCTTTTTTATATATTGATGGATTTGCTTTGCTGTCCAAGACTTACGTTTATATTTATTACTGATAGGGGTAATTTTCTATCATTGTGTTTATTTGGTTTGGTATCAAGATTAATATTGGCCTCATAAGTAGGATTGAGAGTGTTCTTCCTCTTCTCATTTCTTTAAAAGTTTGTTTAATACTAGTATTATTTCCTCAGCATTTGGTAGAGTTAACCAATGAAGCCATTTGCATCTATGCAAGGGTTTTAGATTCTGAGTGAAAGCAGATGAGTGGTGTTATGGCTTGTGTCTAAATGTCCTCCCAGAGGTGGCTGGATCTAGAATGTGTGATATAGGAATCAATGGTGTGTGATTATTGAATAAGCCCACCTATTGGTTTGGCATATTTCTGGGTGTGGATAATGAGAAAATGTAATCTAGGTATGAGTACTACCTGCCTGAGAGCATGTATCCTGGGTAGAATATAAGAGACAGAAAGAGGGCTGCTGTCAGTGCTTGCTGGTGCTTACTTGCTGTCTTTTGCCTGCCATGAACCATTTCTCCTTTGCAAAGCCCCTCTGCCATGCCATACTCTCTTGGAGCCAGCCAACTATGAACTGAAACCTCTACCCTTGAACTACAATAAACCTTTTCTCCTTTGGGTGGTGTCAGATATTTTTTCTCTATAATAAGAAAGGCAACAGATAGATTTTTCATACCAGAGAAGTGGGGTCATTGCTGTGACTTTACCTGATCATGTGGCTCAGGAGCCTTTGGAATTGGCTTGTGAGAAGTTAGAAAGGTTTGGAGATGCTGGCTGAAGCAGCAGCCCTGGAATCCTTTAAGCTGTACTTGATGGCAGATTTTGGTCAGACTTCAGAAGACAAGAATACTGATAGAAATGCAGCAGGTAAAGAGGAGGTTTCTACTGTGAAGAAGCACTGAATTGGCTGTTGAACTCCAAACCATGTGTGCTATATTTTAACAGAAAGTTTGTCTGCATTTTGACCATGTCCAGAGACTTTGCCTGAGACTGAGATTAAGGGTAGCAGACAAATTAATCTTGTAGAAGAAATGTTAAGGCAGTCTAATGTTGAGGCAGTGACATGGCTACTGTTGGAATTTTTAGCCAGATTTATGTTGAGAATCAAGGGCAAAGAGTCCAGCAGAATGATTTAAAATGTTCTGAGTTTGGCCAAAAAGGAAGCTCCAGTAAAGTTACAGACTGCAGATATGGAGCAGAGGAGAACTTGGTTGCTGAAAAGGAATACGGCAATAGAAAAAATGGCCTACGAACATCAAAAGCACCAACAGGACTCCAGCCTTAACAGCCTCAGAGTTGTAAAGGTGCGAAGAGAGCCCCACAGCACCATGTTCCAGAATGATCCTGGCCTAGAGAATTCATTCTTCTGGATTGGGTTCATAGCACTCAGCAATTCAGACACTTCACCCCTACAGACGAGAGGGAAGCCTGGCTACTGCTCCAGCTGGTGGCAGACCCTGGTGTCATCTATGAGCCTGGTGGTGATTTTGGGTGCATGAAAAATGTAAGAGTTGTGGGGTCAGGAAGGTTTCTATTTAAACTTCAGAAAAAGGCCAGGGAGGCCAGGCAGTGTGCTTCTGAGAGGACAGTGTGTGAACTTGTGGATTATCTGAGGAGAGCTGCAAAGAGTGAGCAGAGAGAGTCCAAACCAGAAGCCATGAGAGCTACAACTACTGGCAGAGGTGTAGGGGCTAAGCCACCCAAGCCCTTTGGAGTTTACATCTTGCCGCAGATTGCCTCAGATGCTGGATGTGGAACTATGGTACTTAATATTTGCCCTTCCGGATTTTGTACTTGCTTTTGTCCTGTTCCTTTCTGTCTTCCTGTTTGCACCTTTTGGAATGGCAGTATTTTACTTGCACCATTATATGTTGGAAATGTTTAACTTTCTTTTCATTTATACTAGGGCTTGTAGTTAAGAGTTTGCCTTAAACCAGGCATACGTGGTTCATGTCTATAATCCCAGAACTCAGGAGGCTGAGCCAGAAGGATTACCATGAGTACAAGGCCAGCCTGGGCTACACAGTGAGTTCAAGCCCACCCTGAATTACAGAACTAGACCCTGTCTCAAAAAACTGAAAAAATAAAAAAGTTTGCCTTAAATCTCAGAGGAGACTTTGGACTTGGGCTTTTTAGCAATACTGAAACTGTTAGGACTTGGACTGAATGCCTTGTGCATAAAGGGATGCAAGTGAATCTTTTGGTGCCCAGGGGCAGAATGTTATGGCTTGTGTCTAGATGGCTCCCAAAACCTTATGCAGTCATAGATGGAACTTTTCAGAGGTGGCTGGATCTGGGGTGTGTAATACTGGGATCAAGGCTATATGATTACTAAATTAGTCTGGCTCAGTTCTAGGTATGATAATGGGAGGGCCCATTCTGGGTGTGGGTGGTACCCTGAAAAGGGCAGGTAGCCTGGAAAGGATAAAAGGGAGAGGCTGCTGTTATTGTTGCTGCTGCTTCTTTGCTATTTCACTCCTTGCTGCTTCTGCCTACTGCTCACCACCAACTGGTTCTCCTCTGTGATGTCCCTTTGCCATGCTACCCATCTTTGGAGCCAGCCAACTACAGACTGAAACCTCCACAAACTGTGAGCCAAATAAACCTCTCCTTCTTTAACTTGTGGGTGTCAGATATTTTTGTCTCGGCAATGAGAACAGTAACTAAGATAAGTAGATACAGGGCTGTTCATGTTTTCTGTTCTTTCAGAGTGGGCTTTGGTACTCTGTGCCTTTGAAGAAATTTTTTATGTAAGCTTTGGTACATTTATTCTTTTATCTAAACTTTGGTACATATAAAGTTATTCATTTATTATTTTATCAACCTTTTGCTGTTTGTAATACATAGGGTGATTATCCCCTCCTTAAATTCTCATATTAGGGATTCAGTCTTCTCTCCTGTGCTCTTGCTCTCTCTCTTCTATTAAAATACAGAAAGTGTCCAGGTGCAGTGGCACAAGCCTGTAATCCCAGCTACTCGAGGCAATGTAGCAAGACTGTCTCAACATAAAACATACAAAAGGGCTGGGACCTAGTCAGTGCAGGGTCCTCTTTTCAATCCCCAGAGGAAAACAAAATCAGGATAGTGATTCCTGTATGTACCTGACTCAGTAGTTGTCACTATCTTGCCATACATAACTTCATCGGTTCCCACTATTCTTTTAATTTCCAAAGTATTTTAAAGTAAACCTCAGGCATTGTGACATTACTGTAACCCTAGATACATCCCATATATATCTTTGAAATGTAGGTATATTTTCTTACAAACTTAAAATACCATTATCAACCCTAAAAAAGTTAGAGTGATTCCTTGGTACCATATTTTTGCTTGATACATCTGCAAGATTCTACTGATCATCTCAAAAATGCCATTTTACATTTGGCATGTTCAGATCAAGATCCAGACGAGGTGCACACATGACTGGTGGGGTGCACTTCTTATTGGGGAACACAGAAAGCAGTCCTCTCTGGAGTCTTCCACATCCGGGGTCTGGCTGTGGGCTTTTGGTTGCTGTCATTTCCCTCTTAGGAATGACTGGGTTCATCCTGGCCCAGAGCAGCACCTGGCTTTGTGGAGAGTGGTCCCCCTGCCCGGGCCTGCCTCAGTTTCCACCTCATGCATATTTCTGGCTTGTCCCACCATGTTCACAGCCTGCCCTGCTGTCTCCATGTGTGTTTTTAGGCTTGAATGTCCGTTTTATGAAAGTGTAATGCACAGTAGGAAAGCGTAGAACCCAAGCCCTCCATGGGTTTCGGACCACGCTGCATTGTGGCTCCCGGCCCCCCCACCCCGGTGCTTTGCCATTCTTCTTTTCCTCTGGGTGTCACCCACTGTCCTGAATTCCAGCTGCCACACTTTGTGTGGCTGCTCCTTAGAGACACTAAAGACTTCTCCTGTCCTGTGCTGGCAGGCGAGATGGTGCCCACCTGCAGTCACCATCAGTGCTGGGTGCTGGGGATGGCATCCACTCGACTGTCGATGGTATCTGGGTGCTGCCTGGTTCTGCACTGTTGTGAATGGTGCTGGCTGGCACATTCTTACCCTGCCTGGGGGGGTCTATGTCCACACCTGTGTTGGGTGTTGGGCATCTCCTGGGTGTCGCATTGTGTGTGCTCAGTGTGGGCTTGCCCAGCTGCCACATGCCCTGCCACGCAGTCGCCCACTGTGTTGCACTAACTTTTAAAAACCCAGGTGGTACTGTGTTGCCCCCAAGGCCCATTACCCTGAGTTGTCTCACCTGGTCACCCCAGCGGCCGCAGCCTGTGCACTATCCTCAGAGACGGCACACCACATCCCCTGTGCCCTGCTCCCTACCCTCTCCCCTGCAGTGATGACGGCTGCTTGCTCAGCTGTCTCCTCCTGCAGGACACTTGGTGCTCTGGATCGGATCTTGATGCATGTGTCACTGTCCCTACAGTGTCTTAGGATCATCTGCTTTCCACATATCACCCTATAGCTGCCTACTGATCCTGTCATCCTAAGGGTTGATTTGCAGGCCCGATCACAAGGTTGGAGCTGCTGGGTCTGGTGCTCAAGATGAACTGAATGAGTGAGTGGACTAGCATCCAGCCTGGGGACAGACAGGTGGCAGAGGCTACTGATGGGCCACTCTGCCCTGCAGAAGCCAAGTCCGGGCTGGATTTAAAAAGGAATGAGAAGGGCACACACAGGAGGGCTGCATGGCTTGGTAACAGGTCTCTTACTTAAGCATCACTTTTCCATGTCAGAGAGATAGTGCAGCTCCGAGAAGTGGCGGGAGCCTCCCGGGTGCCGGCTTTCCCTTCCTGAGATGGAGAAGGCATGTGGATCTGCGTTGGCTCTGACCTTAATCCTGGCCACTGCCGGGCAGAGGACTGGAAAGAATATCTGGGGTTCCCAGCACCAACTGATCGCTGCCCACAGCCCAGGCAGTTTGTACTCCCCTCTCTCCTGGGGCGCATGCTGGCAAGAGAGCTGGGTCGCGATACTCTGCGTGTGGCAAAGGATCTGCCCCTGGCCAGCCAGGCAAGGTGGGAGCTGAGGCCAGCAGACTGGGTAGGAGGATGTCCTTGTTTTCTAGGGAGACTCCTTGTCCTCACCTGGCCTTGGAGAGCTGCCTCTCCTTCAGATGGGGGCACGGGAGGAAGGCAGAAAGAAACCCCTCTTATGGTATGTGAAACCAGCAGCCTATGAAAACACTGCCAGGCCAGGTGTGGTGATGCACACCTACAATCCCAGCACTAGTTGAAGCAGGAGCCTTTCAAGTTTAAGACCGGCCTGGGCAGTGTAGTGAGATCCTGTGTGGTAGGTGGCGGGAGGTCAAGTTTGCATGAACTTTGAAGGAAAAACACCAGACTTCAAAAGGATCAGGTCAGCCTCTGTGGATGCCTGTGCCCTCTTGTCCCCCTACACCTCCTTGCATACATGAGTACTGGACCTCAGAGCTGGGGTCCTCGGCTTCTGGAGCCCCAGTCAGAGGACCCATCAGGAGCTGAACATTGTAAGGGGCTTCACTTTGACTCTGGTGAGCCCTTGGACATGGTGTGATGTGTGACACATAGACTGTCACTGGACAGGGTGTACAAGGTCCCCTGAAGGGCTCCACTTGTTCCATCCATGAGACACACTGTAGTCTGACGTCCACCACAGTAGAGAAATTGTTGAGACAGTCGGTGAGAGGTGAGAAGGATGTATGAGGGAGGAGAAGCACTCAGGAGGCGAAGGCTCTGGAGAATAATGCATCATGGGCTGGGGTTGGGGGTTCTGTGTGGTCTTGGAGGTGTCACCAAGACAGGCGATCTGGGTTAATGTGCTCTTCCCTGGGCCAGGAATTCCACCTGCTGGGCCCCAGTTTACAGGCCTTCTGTATCTTTAAGACCCTTGGGAATTTTTTTTTTTTTTTTTGAGTGAGTTTTCTGGAAGGGAGAAAAGCATTGTAATCTTAGGTGATGTTTGTGTTCCAAAACCCAGCTTTAAAATGACAAGTTTCCTGGTCTCCTTTCTACCTATCCATATTCTTCTCTCCTGCCCCAGGCCTTCAGGGCCATCACAGGACAGAGGCGATACCAGCACAGCCAGCTGGCGTGGGAAGGAAGGGGATGGCAGGCTCCTTGGGGGCTGCATGGGCTGCTCTCCCTCCTCCAGGCAGAAAAGGGGTTTCCTTGGTTTGGATGGCTGAGGGACAGAGTGGGGAGAATACTTGGGGGTTTTGCTTTACTGTTTCATACACATTTTTTCTTGCTAATTTAAAAAGTAGTTAGGGCTGGGCACATAGCTCAGCAGTACAATGTCTGCCAGGCAAGCACAAGGCCCTGAGTTCAATTCCCAATACATACATGCATACATTCGTAAATTTTAAAAAGCAGTTTTAGGAAGGGAAATTACAGAACTCCTAGCTTCTAGAGACCAAAAAAAAAAAAAAAAAAAAAATCAAAAGTGCCTAATATGCTTGAGTTAATCAAATTAAGAAAATGCCTAACTAAATACAGTTCTCTTCAGCATAATGGTAAGAATACTATAAACTTTAAAAAGGCAGGTATGGGGGCTGGGGATTTAGCTCAGCGGCATAAGCACCTGCCTTGCAAGCAGGCAGTCATGAGTTCAACCCCCGGTACCGATAAAAAGGAAAAAGACAAAAAAAAAAAAAAAAAAGGCGGGTATGCTAACATATTTCTGTAATTCAGGAGGCTGAGACAGGAAGATCTCAAGTTTGAACCCAGTTTGGGCAATTTAGCAATTTTATTTCAAAATAATAAAATAATAAAGTGAAGTCTGGAAATACATTCAGTGCAGATCCTAGGTTCTAGCTCCTGCACCCCAAAACAAAAACAACAAAACACTAAAAACTCCTCTGTAATGAAAAACAAAAGTTCTTATTTTCTGTTGTTTTTGAAAAAGTGTCCACATCGAAAGTTTAGGCATACCTTCTCAGATAACTAAGGCCTGCGTTGGTGGGAATGTTTTAACAAGGGATTTTTGTAGCCCAGGAGTGCCTGCCTGGTGCCTTGGCTTTTAAGTGCTTGTGTAAAGCCCAGGATTCAGAGTGTGCCTGTCAGTAATGCTCGGGTAGTGTCCTGGGGCTCGCCAACAACACTAGGGAGGTCAGAGGATTGTAACGGTAAACGAAGGAGACTGCTTGTGTTAAGAGGCTGCCTCCTGGGTGCAGTGTGCACGCATGCGCGAGTGCGCCTGTTTGCCTAACGTTAGTGGGGGTGTGATATGCAACCCGGCCAGATGCAGGGAGCAATGTGCTTCTGGTTTCCTCAGCAGCTTCAGCCAGCTCAGTGCCTTTTCTGGAAGTTTCAGACCCAAGGTTTAGGCAGCAGTTGACCAGCTGTGGGCTAGAATGCAGGAACGTGAGGAAACTGATCCCCTTGGTGCAGTATTTAAAAAGCATGCTCTGTTATGTGCCGTTTCCCTCCCCTGATCCCTTATTGGAATTCAGAGTTTTAACTCATCGCTCAGCTGTTTTAATTGAATTTAACGTGGGTAATTATACAAGCTCTGAAAAAAGACGGAATGCCTTGGGGATGGTAATTAGTCAAAACCCCATCAGATTTAATTTTTAGTCCTGTGCTTCTATTTTTAAAAGGCTTATTTTCATAATGCTTAAAAACAGAATGGTGTAGCTGGGCGTGATGGTACGCTCCTGTAATGTCAGCACTCTGAAGGCTGAGGCAGGCGGATTGTTGCAGGTTCAAGACTAGCCTGGGCTACAAAGTGAGCCCAAGGCTAGCGTAAACCATGTAATCGTGTTTCCAAAAGACAAAAAAAAAAAAAAAAAAAGCAGAACGGTGTGTACGCACGTGTGTATGCTGGGGTGATGTCCTGACTTTGGTGCCTCAGTGTGGGCAGTTAACTGCCAGGTTTGCAGTCTTTCATCTGCTGCCTCCTGCCTATCTGGTTACTTCCAGGTAGTCAGTGTTTTTTCAGAGGATTCAAACCAGTTTTAATACTATTCCTAGCAAAAGACAGAGGCTGACCATGACTGCTGCTGGCACAGCGTGCCACTCACTTGCTGATTCCCAGCAACCGGTCCAGTTGGGAATTCCCATTAGTCTCTGACATCATGCTCCTAGGCAGTGGGCCCTGTGACCCTGGGCCCCGAGTTAGGGTGCGCAGTGCTGGTGTACACTTGATGTTGAGTGGGGCAGGCCAAGAGGGCTGCATCTCTGCAGTGTGTTGAGGGCTCCTTTTGCAGGTGATGGTATTCCCAGGTATCTTGACATGTCATGTTTGTGTTTGGTGGTCATTTTCCAAAATATTCCTATTGATACATTGTCCTGTGTTGGGTGGAGGCTTCCCTGATTGTCTGTGCTGTGGTTGCACCCAGGTTCCGGAGCCCAGGGCACACCTGCAGGCTCCTCGCCCTGGGGTAACTTGTTGGGGGGAATCAGGTAGCTCTTCCCTCTTGCCAGCTTGATCTTGACCTTGACTTCCAATCTCTGGGCACTCTGTGCACTTTCTCTTAGATTTGTTCCTCCCAACCCAACCAAATGGGGAAGCTGCTAGTTACTGACTGCAGTGGCCGAGCCTAGCCAGGGGCCTCACCTGTAGTTTTATTTTTCTAAAATGGTTATCTAAGATTTGCTTAAGTGGATTTATGTTCTCATCTTCCTAGAATATTTTGCTGACTACCTAGGAGAAAAAAAGAATGGCTGTGTGCAGTATTTTGCAATTGTTCTAGGTTTCTTGTAACTTTAAAAGCTTGCATTTCCAAACCCTCCATTCCTCACCTATGAAAACAAAACATAAAAACTGTGTCAAGGGCTGAGGATATAGCTCAGCGGCACAAGTACCTGCCTGGCAGGCACAAGGTAAAGTTTGATGCTGCAAACGAAAACAAAACCGTGTGACTTTAAAATGTCTCGGGGAAACAAAGCCTTTTAAGTAGTATAGCAGTGCATCGTCATTCCTATTCCCGAGCCAGTTAATCAAAGTATTTCTAACCCACAATTTCCAAATAAAAAGTCATTCTGTAGAAAATGAATGCAAGAAAAGGGCCCAGTGGGTAAACAGGATAAGCCCTCAGGGTCATGAGGCAGAGCGAGTTACCTGCCTTGCGCCAGGTGTGGTGGCACTTTCCTGGTTGTGCTCAGGCAGAGGGTGGGTGCAGCCTCTTGGCTCTTCCCTCTTTGATCAGGGAACTGTGCCAGGTGCCATAAATGTATTTTGACTTAAGAGCCACATTCTCCTCCAGCAGGCCCTCTAAATGCAAACCATTCACTGTGTCTCTTAGTAGCCAGGTGACCACTTAGCAGCCTGGGCGGGTAGGGCTCTGGGTGGGGACAAAGGCGCTCTGTGTCCTGCTGCCAGCACCAATCTTCCATACCTCCTCCAGTACTGCCCTACCGGGCCTCCTGCAGGAGCTCAGGCAGCAGCCACAGGCAAGTCTGGTTGGTTTTGTTTTATTGCATGTTGGATTCCTGTAAGTGGCAGAGTTACGAAGTCACCACAAATCTGTTTTTAGAAGCACTTTAGAAATACTCAGCTGCTTGGGGAGACAGTGAATGTAAGGTGATGCACTGCTGTGTTTGACCAGGGGCTGGGAAGCATGTTGAATGCCAGTATGGCCTGGTAATATGAATGGAGACTGAGGGGCCTGCAGAGTGCCCTCATTCCTGAACTCGTTAATAATAGTTTTCTAGGTTAAATTTCTTTTAATTACAATTTACACACAGCAGACTCAGACTAAACTCCCAGGATGATGGTTTTGACACCACACCCCCACCACTTGGATCAAGGTGGAAATTGCTATCACCCCCACCTCAGAGGGCGATGGCCTGCAGCCCGCTGCTCTTCCCGGTTCCTGGCCACATGTCATAGCTCCGGCCCTCTGTGGCCTCTCAGAGCCCTCAGCCCTGCTCCTGGAGGCCCTTGTTCCTCTTTGGACCTGGCCGTGGTAGGCATGGATCTGCCCAGCCATGTGAGACCTGCGAGGTGCTGAGTACTTCTGGGTTGAGGCCCTCTCACTGTGGCCTTCGGCATGAGCTTGAGGCACTCGGCAGGGGGCCAGGCCATTGCTGTCATTCCCAGGTGGCCACTGTGGCACTTACCTCCAAGCTGCAGGTAGCATCAAGACTCCTAGGTGGCACACATGGGGCCTTGGCACTCTAGCTGCTTCCTATCCTGCCTGTGCACACAAGGCTCCTTTCCTGCCTGATCTGGCCCATTGCCACCCCCACCCTGCACCCTACAAGCAGGGTGGGGTGTTGTGACAGCCACATCTGTATTGCTGGTTGTGTTTTGAAGATGTCAACACAGCTGCCTTTCAAGTGATATCTCATGAAAAAGGTGGTGACTTTTCCCTGTGGCCAAAGAGTAAAACCCACGAAAGGCTGCCGAGGCCATGCTCCTCGGGCTCCTGTGGCGTCAGGACCACAAAGTGCCAATTGTGTCCCTGGGCCGGGGCAAGTAAAGGTGGCAAGGGGGCCTCGCCTCTAGTTTCAAAGATGCTGGCCTTTCAGCAGCCCGTGCTGTGGCCACTTTCGGGGGGGGGGAGGGTCCGAGGGGCTCTGAGGGGCTGCCGAGGGGCTGCCGAGGGCGGGCTCTAGCAGGAAAGCCAGGGGGAGGGCATCAAAGCACGCACAGGATGCACGTGGCCCTGCCCGCTGGCCAGCCCCAGGTTCAGAGTTCACGGCATCTTGTTTTTTCACCTGTTTCCTACAGTTCTAAGAGACTGTGGAAGAATCAAGGGGTAACTGTGTCAGACACTCAGCCTTTCTCCAGGGAAAACAGCATCATGGCGGGGAGGTTTCTGTGAGCTCTGAGACCTCCTGGTCTCCCAGCCGACCTCCACTGCCCCACGCAGTGCCAGAACGAGGGCAGAAGGAGCCCCTTTGTCAGTTGTGAGGGGGTGGCTAACACTGGTCACCATGCCCTTCGTGAGCCTGGGGAGGGGTGGCAGGAGAGGCCTTGCCCATGCCAACTCTAACACACAAAGTGGTGAAGGATTAAAGCTGAGAAGATCTTCACCAGGCAGTTCTGTGGGCCAGGGGGTTCTGGTTCTGGACGTTTCTCCTCTAGCCAGAAGTGAGTGGCAGAGCAGCTCTCCTGGAGCGCCCCCCGTGCCTCCTGCTTCCGGTCATTTTAGCTTTTCTTCACCACCACAGTCTTCATCTGGTACCTGAACATTTGTTAGTGGTGGGTTTCTCACACAGAGAAGCTTGAAGTGAGGATGAACAGGTTTTACTAATGTTTCCTTTTGTCATTAAATTTTAGTACAAACAAAATTAAACCATTTTAAGAAGGGTTAACCCTTTTTTAAAGGTTGATTCTTTGTTGCAAACCGATCTAAGAATTAAGCATTACCCACTTTTTGGTTTGGTTCACGTGGTGTGTGTATATGTATGATTTAAAGCAGGGACTGAGCATGTGAAATAGTTGTTATTTCTAAACTATAATAAACTCTTAAGTCTTGCCTTTTGCATTCTCGCCACCAGGTGGCTGAGAAAAAATTAAACAGAACAAATGCAATAATTATGCAAAAGACTCGCAATCCCTTTCAGTTTTTGTTTCAGCAATGAGATATGAAACTACAGATGGACTGTACTTCAAGAAAGAAACCACAGGGTAGGCGAAAGGCATTTCAAGCAGCACTGGACCCAAGGGACATTTGCTTCTGTGTTTTTGCTTTTTTAAAGACAAAGTGTTAAACTAGTGAGACCTCACTGCCCTGAAACTTCTGGAGTCTCTGGGCCCGTGGTCCCTCCAGGTAGACCCCTGGATGTCCTTGCTTCTAGCCTGCCAGGGTAGGGCAGAGGCTCAGCTTTTATCCTAAGCAGAGGGGACCTCAGCCCTGGCCCTACAGCTGACCTTGCACTGGATCCCCATGTTCTTGGAGTTCACAGAGACATTGCTTACATTCACTTGGAACAGGCTTTAAAGGCTGAGAATAAACTGCAAACCGAACATCAGCATCGCAGGCCTTTTCAGTTGTCGATTAGCGATGAGTAATACACTGTTAGATTTATTTCACCTGAGACCTCTGCTTGAGTAAGGACAGCCAGCGCTACCAGGCCTGGCCTGGGCCCTGGACCTGAAACCCCACCTGTTTCCTGGGGCTGTGTCAGGTGGCTGCTCAGTCTCTTCTGTGCATCTGGGCGGCTCTTTGTGCCTCTCACTTGTTCACTCTGACAAGTAACCTCTTGGTTGTACACCATTTTATTGAAACTCACTTTTCTGATTCCAAGTGAACATAAGTGCCTTAATCCTCTAATGAGAATTAATTGCTTGTTTCAGTGCTTAACTCAGATCCTTTCTCAATCCCCACAGGGACAAGGTGCTTCTTGAAGGATTGGAGTTTGTTGTTCAAAACGCAATCAGAAAAGGTAATGATGTTTTTCTTGTGAAAGAAGCCAAACTGCAGAACATAATTTTTCATTGCATATGTACTGCTCTCAAAGTACATTTAGTGAACTATTGCCTGGGTTTCTTTTATGGAAGTCAGCTATCATCTGCAGAAGAAAGTTAACTGGTTCTCCATGCAGTTAGAATGAACATCCCCTAGTATAATCAGTGATTGTTTCTATGCATTGTTTCTCCTATTCATTCTTACTGGTTCTGAGAAATAGTTAAGACTACTACACTATTTGATGTAATTCTCTTACAGTGTATTCACTCTTTTTTAGGGGCTTAATCAAGACACATGTAGCTAGCAGACATTTTGGTAAAGGCTGGCATTGGGATAGTCCTCAGGGAGAGTGGGGTAAGGAAGGGTTAAGGGGCCAACAGCATCAGCATTCAGCAGGTGCCATTGCCTGGCATACAACTGTCAATCAATAGAGATAGCCCACAGGGAAATATGATGGAGCCCTTTTTGTAAAGGGCACAACAGAAACTCTGAGCTTTTTGTATAGCAGTCAAGTGATGGAGGTAGGACCTGTTGTTATGTCACAGTGCACTTTTTTAGACTTACAGAGCATTGTGTCCCTAATGTCCTGTACATCACTGGCTGCCCTGCCTCCTGTTCTGCACAGGGCCTGGGCCTGGGTTCAGGCCTATCTGGCATATCTACTTTCTGTCCAAGGAGAGACACACAGCAGTCTTCATTTTGCTGTGGGAAGTCCAAATGCTCACCTACAGCTCTTTCCTACTATGCCAATACCTAGTGTTTCATCCAAGACTCCGCCAGGGAAAGAGTTAGTACAGTGGGACGGGGATTGGGAAGGTACAGCAGCATCCTCTGCCATAGTGTCAGTGCCCTCCTCACTGGTGTGGCCCAGGGGCTGGATGCATCATGTCAGGGCCCCAAGTCTGTCCTAGCCAGAATGAATCACAGTCATAGGTTAGGTTACCCCAGATGTTGTAATGGGTTTTTCATGTGTCTTGCTGGAAGGGTCCTTGGAAATGGGCTGAACATGACAGTTAAGGAATAAGAATATAAAGAGACAAAGAACTCAGAACAGAACAAAGTAAAGTCAAAACCAGTAGAAAAAAGGAGCAGTAAAACTGGAGCAAAGATAGACAATAGAGAACATGGATTGTGTTAGGTTTCCTTCATTGTGACAGAGCACCTGAATGGGAAGGGTTTGTCTGGCTTGCCTATCAGAGGTGGAGTTCGTGGTCAGCTGGCTCCATGGTTTCTGGCCTGGGGAGCAGAACATCATGGCAGGAGCAGGTGGTGCAGTGTAGCACCAGACAGCCAACAAAAACAGAGCAGGCGCTGAGAGCAGGATATACCCATCGCAGTGTGCCCTGGGCTGCAACTCCTCCAGCAAGGCCTGCCACCTCCCTATAATGCCATCTGTTGGCAATGAAGCCTATGTTGGAAGATATTTCAGATCTAAACCATAATATCAGTGGTGCTAAGAATTTGCTGTTTGGAAAGAGTGACAAAGTGATAAATCTTTAGTGGAGGTAGAAAATGGGGTAGGGTATGGGAGGATAGTAAAATCTGAAAAGAGAGGACATTAGAACCTACCTGATAAAAACTAAAAAGATTCTGAGGGAATACTGTGAACAATTATCTGCAATAAGATGGTAGCCTAGGGGCTGGGGATTTAGCTCAGCGGCATAAGCACCTGCCTTGCAAGCAGGCAGTCAGGAGTTCGATCCCCAGTACCGATTAAAAAAAAAAAAAGCAAAACTTTAAAAAAAAGATGGTAGCCTACCTAGATGAAAGAGATAAGTCTTTGAAATACACACCCTACCAAGACTGAATCATCACTAAACAGAAAACCTTACAGAACTATAACTACTAAGGAGATCAAAAGAAAAAACTCCATTTTCCCTCAAAAAAAGAAAAGCTGGGATCAGACAGTTTCTATGGTGAATTCTGGTGACAGTCTCTCTGGTGAGCCAAACAGTGAAGGAATTCACACTAGTCTTCCTGAGATCATTCCAAAAAATAAGAGGAATAAATACTCTCAAAGTTAGTCCAGCATTACTCGGACACCAAGGCCAGAGGAGGACACTGAAGGAAACTGTGGACTAACATCCTTGGGTGAAGACTGATACAAAGGTCCTCCACAGAACACCAGCAGCAGAATCAACAATATATTAAAGCTTTACATTGTGATCAAGTGAGATTCATTCCTGTAAAGCAAGGGTAGGACATAAAAAAAAAATTACCCTAACACATTGGATAACAGAATAAAAAAACACAGTCATCTCTATTTCATAGGAAGAGCACTTAAACAGGAATGGAAAGAAATTGCTTCAACATAGTAAAGACCAGATATACAAAGCTCACAGTAAACTGGACCCAGGTTACTTCTATGAGAAACTCCCATGGTCTTCTGTCGTTACTGTGCCAGTTTCCACTCCCACCACCAGCACGGGGTTCCAGGTTCTGCCCATGCTCACCACTGTGTGTTGTGCAATTTGTTGTTCTGAAAGTGGCCGTCCTTATCCAGTTGAGATGGCATTTCACTGTGGTTTTGAGTTCCATATCCCTAATATTTGGTGGCCTTGAGCATCTTTTCTTGAAACACACTTTCAAGTCCTTTGCTCAGGACTGTTTTTGTTGTTTTTGGTTTTTACATAGTTTCAGATACACTGCAGGATTTGCACTTACTTCCTCCTACTGGTTGTGCTGATTGTACTCCTTAATATGCAGACATTTTAAAATTCATTGTGGTCCAAGTTATTTTTAATGTTGTTTGTGATTTTGGTGTTGTATCTCGCATTTCCTGGTGTCACTAGTCATCAGGTGGCTTCCATGACTGAAACCTGCTGGCTTTGTGAGAGGGAAAGAGCACCTGTCCCTGCAGCATGGTGCGTGGGGACTGCCGGCCGGGCCATCCAGGCGTGAGCCCTGAACCACCAAGACTGAGCTAAATAAACCTCTTTCTGTAAACTTACATTACAGTAACACAAAACAGACTAACTGCTTAGGAATCCTGTGGAGACAGATGAGGAGAGCAGGCAACAGCAGTGTGAAAACTAGAAAACACAAGCCAGTGGTATTTGACTTAGCAGCCTGGCAACCCCAGAGCCTGAAGTCAGTTCCTGCGGTTTCAGTTTGAGAAGCCACTGGGACGTCAGCCCACCGTGCTTTGGGTGGCTGTGAGGGGCACGGGATTGAGGGAAGCAATGCATACTGACACAGGCTGTTACCTGCTGACCAACCCTTAGGGTCCCTCCCTGTTTGGGCTGAAATTCCCAGCACAAAGAATGCAAAAGAAAACACACTTGCGTCCACCTCCTCATAACCTTTGGAGTCTCTGGGATGGGGAAGGGCCCCCTGGCCTTCTGAGGGAGAAGTGCAAGTCACATACGAAGCACAGTCTCTGTATTGGCACTGGACTTCTCAGCAGGAACCCAGGAGACTGAAAGGCAGAGGGGAACACTTACTAGAATCCTTCAGGCTCACCACGTTACTACCCCCAGGTGGAAAGTAGGCTTCGGCAAAATGAAGGATAGCACGAAAGGGACAAACTCCAGCATGGGGAGCAGAAGGGCCACCTGTGCCCAGAAAGTGTGGGACTAGCACCAGGAAGGTGATGCGGGATGGCCACCTGGCACCGAGTGGACACCAGAGCAAAACAAGTCCAAAACAGTTTTAACTCCAAGAAAAAGAACACTGTGTCTTCCTGAGAGCAGCAGTGTTTAAATAGATCTAACACTGAAATGAATATGGATTTGACCAAACTGGTAGCATCTCCTGGTAAGTGGTGGGGCAGGTGGAGCACAAGCGTTGGCTGCAGTGGTGACACAACATCGGGGTAGACATGGCCGCTCAGCCCTGGCCACAGCCCTCACCACAGCCCTGCACTTCGTCGTTCAGCTTCCAGTTGCTGAAGCAGTAGCGCAGAGATGCAGTGGTTTGCCTGAAATCACCCAGGATAAGCAAAGCCTTCGAGCCAGGGCTTCAGCAGGCAGTTTGGTTCTGAGGTCTGCTTTAAACTGCTCTGCCTGCAATGGATGGCAATTTAAACCACAGAGAAATAGCAGTGGAAGGGACAGTGAGGAGAGCAACTTCATAGTGCTGCCGCTGAGTGAGGAGGGTAGGGAATTTCGGTTTTTTCAGACAGCACTTCACAGATTTCCTGGATGCACCTTCTTGGGTTCTGTCTTTTGCAGTGCCAGGGCCACACCTGCTGGTAGGTGCCTTCCATCTGAACCACAGCCCCCGGCCCTGTTTAATTCTCTTGCCCCGCAGTTCCATCTCTGGTCTGTTCCCAAGAAGGCTGCCAGCAGCTGTCACTAAATAGTGCTGGATAGAGGGCAGTGAAGCACAGAGCTTTGCAGGAGGCCCTGGTCCTTCTCCCGCTTTGCTTGAGTCATTTTTGTTGTTATATAACTGTCCATGGCCCAGACTCAGGCGAGAGTAGATTTTACCTTCTTGAGAAGCCAGGGCTGCTGCTGTGAGTCACAGTGAGTCACCTGAAGCATCGTCACCCTCTAAGCCCTTGAGGAAGGACATGGGACAAGTGCCACCATTAGAATTTTGCCAGTGCAGACTGCCAGGGCCAGAATGTGAGTGTAGCCCTGAAAGCCGTGTTCTCTTTGGCAGCTGGCATCCAGGTGATTATTTTACATGTGTGTTTGCTCAGTGCTGCCCCTCGCTTTTCTATGGTGTTAACAGTACACATTTCAAAGTTCTTTTTAAAAGACTGGAACTACTTGAGAAGCTGCAGTTAGGCAGGGCAGCCCGGGCAGGCTGTCCTCCTGTGATAAGTGGCTGTATTCTTGATGAGAGTCCTTTCCCAGATATTCTCTAAAGGGCCCTGCAACTCCCTCGGTGCCCAGCACATAGTGTCTGCTCCACTCGGGTCCAGGCAGGGCTGGGGAGGCACAGGTGTGAAGATGTCCATGGTGGTCACCAGCTTACACCTTTGCTCCTGAGAGGAGCAGGCAGAAGCTCAGCGAGGCCTTCTGAATGCAGCAGGCAGCCAAGGAAGCCCCATTGCAGCTCCTGTCAGAGCTATGAGGGCTGTCACCACAAGGGCCTCTGTGAGGCCCTGGTCGGTGGCCACCTTCAGCAAGCACTTCTGAGAGGGGGCCTGTCTGTCCAAGTGGCACAGGTGGCTGATGTGCCCTGTCTCCTGCCACACAAACAGGTGTCCTAGGGCTCTTGAGTATTGTTGTTGTGTCACTAGGCCCCAAAGTGGAAAACAGAGCCACTACCAAGTCCCCTCAAATATGTGGAAAGTTTTAGAGTCTCAAATATTTACCCTTTGTTTACATGAAGGATTGACAGCTACAGGTTAGTCTGACTTGTTGTCTATTTTCTGACAGCCCACAAGCTAAGAATGGCTTCTTTTCCATCCTGCTGCCTTTCCTCCTTTTTTTTTTTTTGTTTTTTGTTTTCCTTTTGCACTGGGGATTGAACCTAGGTCCTGTGCACTGAGCTATAGCCCCAGCCTTTAAAAAATTATTTTTTTATTTTGAAGACAGAATCCTGATAAATTACTAAGTTGTCCAGGCTGGGCTGGCACTTGTGATTCTCCTGCCTCAGCCTCACAATGTGCCAGCATTACAGGTGTGCACCACCATGCCTGCCTTATACATTTTTAATTGACTAACAAAAAAAATCAAAGTATCTCATGACGTGAATTGTATGGATTTCTAATTTGTGTTTGTAAAGCAAGTTTAATCAGGACACTCTCATATTCACTTGCTTACCTACAGCCAGCAGTAGGTGGGAGGAGGACCAGTCAGCAAGCCTGGCAAATACACCCTCGGGCAGTCCAGGCAGTTCCACCCACTCTCATCTCTCCCTCCAGCCCCCCAGCCAAATGGCTCTCGTTTTCGTGTATGGCACCCTGAAACAAGGCCAACCCAACCATGAGGTCCTGCTGAATGCTGCACACGGCTCCGCGACCTTCCGGGGCCGGGGCCACACAGCTGAGCCCTACCCACTGGTGATCGCTGGCGAGCACAACATCCCCCGGCTGCTCCACCTCCCGGGCTGGGGCCACTGTGTGGCAGGTGAGATCTACACAGTGGATGAACAGATGCTGCACTTCCTGGATGACTTCGAGGGCTGCCCTAACATGTACCAGCGCACTGCCGTGCAGGTGGCGGTGCTTGAATGGAAGGGTGAGGACAGCCCTGGGGACAGCGTGCAATGCTTCATGTACAGCACGGCCACCTATGCACCCGAGTGGGTCCACCTCCCCTACCATGACAGCTACGACTCGGAGGGCCCACATGGGCTGCGCTACAACCCCCGGGAGAACAGGTGAGAAGGGTTGGTGGCAGCAGCAAGGCCAGAGGGGACCTGCAGCTGCCTTGTCTCCTTGGCTCAGCCCAGAGACGCCAGTGCAAAAGCAGACAAGTGCCTCAGTTGTAAAACTCCCATCTGGAAAGCAGAACTCTTTCCGTGATGCTGAACCTACACTGCAGTTAGGTGGGGCCTCATGCCTCACATCCTCTCCGCCTCTGTAGTGAGGCCTGCAGCATGGTGGGTTAGAGCTCTGGTGTCTGTGGGGTTGGGAGTATTCGTTTAAAAAAACCTTCAAATGCTAATTTTGCCTAAAGGGCATTGAGGGGACTCACAGAGTATACTTCTCATTCTTCTCTTTGCTTTGGTTTACTCTGAATATCGCATACTCAAAGGCTAAGAACTGTGTCACAGTTGGTTTGCAGATGACTGTACTCCTTCAAGCCTGCAGGAAAAGCCTAGGAAAAGTTTTAATAGAAGCTGATTTTTGAATAGCTAAATATAATTTTAAAAGCCTCAAGAAAACATATTGTACTTTTGAGACTGTATGTAGCACATTCTTCCTACCTTTTAGAACACACGGAAACTGTTCACGATGCCCATTTGAAATTAAACTAGGTGCTTTGAGAGTAGCCCCCATGTGTGGTGCTACATGGGGTCCTCTTTTTGATATACTTTCCTAATAGGAGGTTCTTTTCCTTCTAACTGAGCAGGTCGTGAATACCCACTTGCTGGGAGACACAGCTGAGTACCCGGACTTCCTGGGGATGCTGTTCTGAGTCTGAATCCCAGCACCAGGCCATCACTGCTCCAAAGCCGCAGCACTGGCAGGCAGGCCTTTCAGAGAAGAACCGGCACGTTAGTAATTTGTTCTTCAGGACTGACAAAAAGCTTAGCTTCCACATACAAACAGCACTTAAAATAATGCTAGCAAGGCACGAAGTACCAATTACTACCCACCTCCATCTGATGATCTGTCAGCGGAGATTCAAGTCAGCACACGACTCTGCGTCTGCTCACCAGCAAAGGACAAATGGATTCCTAGAATTTCAGGACCAAATGAAGATGCAGCTGCTGGTCCTTAGTAACCCTGTTCTCCATTGGGAGAGCTCTCTTCTCTTCAACTTAATGGTAGACTGTGATCACTAACTACATCTGGCACAAAAACACGATTGTTATTTTTAGCCTCTTCCTCTTAATTGGAAACTTGTTTTGCAGAACACAGAAAGGCGAGGATGGTTATCACTGACAAGCTGGTGGCAGCTCTGTTCACTGTGGCTGCAGGTGAGGTGGCCCATGGCGATGAGTAAAGGACTGGGCAACAGCCTGTCCCCAGCTCAGTCATTAGGCCCGAGAGTGACCTCCTGAGCGGTGCACATCAATCGTGACACGTGGGTGGAGCCACAACAGGGGAGCCTGCCCGCACTGGTCCTCAGTCTCCAGAGAAAGAAGGCAGTCAGCCCATTACCAAACAGCGTGTGCTGATTCCATAGCACCAGAGACACAGAACTGGACTTACTTTTTTAAGGATCAAAATGAAATGCTGTTATTTATCATCAGCTGGGACAGCCTGTTGCCCATGTGTATACTGTCTTCAAGAAAAGGGAAAACTAATATTTAGACAAATGCTTGGCTTTATTGATTTAATTCTGACACCAGGATATCTCACAGCAGAAGTACACATCATCTGTACAAGGATTTATACCAGTAAAAATTTCTGTTGGTGATTTCTTGGCAAATCATTGGCTCTGACTTGTGTGGAATAAGCAGGAGAGCCCAGGCCACTACAGAGTGAGTGCCCAGCTCCCTTAGGCTGGAGGTGGGGGATAGGGGCGTACTGGAGCTTATCAGGAGGCTATGAATGCATCACTCCAATGCCACCAGCAGATCGCCTTCTCCAACTGTGTCTCCAGCTTTACAATGCACCGATTTCACCTTGAATGTAAAAAACGGGACTGTGGATCATCACAGGAACCAGCACTGGTGGTCACCCAAGTCTGCTTCTGGGTGGGGTAGATCTGAGCCTGCAGCTCAGGTCTCAACCACTCCACTGCAGGAGTCAGTGTTGTCCCTACAGAAGGGTGCCTCCCTTCCTCCTCTGTCCTCAGTCAGCCCAGGGATGATCATCTCTGAGAATTTTGGCTGCAGTCTGCCAGCTGGCCCCTTTTACTGGATACTCAGGTCCAGGCCACGTTTACTTTTTGCAGCACTGGGAACTGAACCCAGAGCCTCATGGATACTAGGCAAAAGCTTGACCATTAAGCTGCAGCCTCAGAACTTTTAATATTTTGTTCTGAGGCAGGGTCTCACTAAGATGTACAGACTGGGCTTGAACTTGCAGTCCTTCTACCTCAGCCTCCGGAACAGCTGGGATTACAGATACATACCACCACATCTTAAAATCTCACCAGCCAGCCCCTCACCCTTCCTGTGGGTTTAGACTGTAGAAATGTTTGGAGAATTAGTGTCATACCTAGTTTCAGGTTAAAAACAATTTTAAAAGCTGTACAACAGACCAAATTAAGTACTAGTTAAAAAGAGAGCCTTCCCTTGCCTGGTCACAGCCCTCCTTTGGAAGAGAAATGAAACGCCAGGATCCCCGTGGCCATACACTTGCCTTGGTGGCATGATGGACTGGAACTGCACCTTCTCATTGTACTGATGGCTCCCAAATACAACTACGTGCTGCCTGCCTGGCTGTGCATTCTGATTTAGAATTAGCAGGCAGGGGGCTGCAGTGCCTAAGGGACAGACACTCACCTCCTCCTCAGAGGCCGCCTGCTGGGCCTGGACATGAACAAGTGGAGCAGATAGCTGAGTAGCAGCGGTGCCCTGCCTGGGTTCTGCCGGTTACAGTTGGTAGACAGAATGGATCCTTTTCTCTTCAGGTTGGCCCAGTCTTAAAGGATGGTGTGAGCCTATGCAGTGATTGCTTCACAGGGCTCATCTCTGGTCCATGCCGTTTGAATTGAAGGGGATGTTGGTTTGGTTTTTGTTTCTTGGTTTTTTGTTTGTTTGTTTGTTTGTTTTATTTTGTGGCAAAGCCAAGGAGTTTGTTTAAGCACTGCTATATCTCTGGGTGGCATCCTCACTCCTTATTTTTTTCAATGTTTTGTTTTTGAGATGGTCTCTCCAACGCTCATACTAGCCTTTAATTTGCTACCCTCCTGCCTCAGCCTCCTGAGTAGCTGGGATCACAGGCAGGCCCTATCTTACCCAGCTAGGTGGCTGGTTTTTCTTATGATGTTTCTTATGATGTTCAACATTACATAAATACTATATGTTTTAATGATGGTACAATTACTAGAGGGTCTGTTTCCCTTGTACATCTTTTCTCTGGGAGGAAAAGTGAACTCAGGTAAGAACTGTGAGCTTTAGACTCAGCCAGGGCTACTCTGGCTGTGCCTTGGTGACACTGGCTTGAGGCCTGGGGATAAGGAATGGAGTTGAATGGATAGGAACATCTCCAGTGTGAGAGCTTCGGCCAAAGGAAGGGCCACACCCAGTAATGCCTGAGGCAGCTCCAAGGGACACAGCTACAAGGATGCACCACCCAGTGATGTGGCTCCCCATTGCTTTGGAGGATGAATGCCAGGCTCCTTACTGCTCAGCTCCTCGGCCCAGCTGTGCGGGTGACCTGACCTGTGACTGACACCCATTCTTGGCTTCCCAAAACCAGGCCAAGCACTCAACATGGAATGGGAATTCCACAACACTGTGTGAGATGTTAAACAATCTCAAAGAACAAAACAGTTTTCATATGCCAGCCCCACAGACAGGGCACAGTGGTAGGCCCATTGGGGCCCCAGGTACCAGGACCTGTGCCTCTGGGTGGAGACAGGAGGGGCCTTTGTCCTTCTTGAGAACAACCTCACTGCCTTATGCTGTGATGGACAGACAGAGGTTCTCCTAATGCATCTCGCACATCACCCAGTGTCGCCATGGTGAGCCCAGAGCATAGGACCCAGCCCGCCTTTGTCACTGTCCTCACACCTCCAATCACACAGCGCTACATGGGCACCACCAAACTGAAACATCCTTCAGGAAAGGGCTTCTGCCCACCCCCAGCATCACTTTGGTCACGGGCAGAACAGGGAAGTGACTGTGTCACAGAACTCCCCCACTGTCCTCAAGTGAAAAACGTTTCACTCTTAACCAATTAGGACTGATAATCTTTAAGCCCCACATGGGAACAAGGGGTGTCAATTCGTCTTGATCTCAACTGAATTGTTCTCTTCATGGAGAAATTATCTTGGAAGTGTTACATTAATTTTTGCAATCCATAAAACTGTTTCCTGCTGTGTCACCTAAGTCTCAGATAACTAACTGCCTCAAAGACAGATGCAAACATTAAAAATTAAAGAGCCCTTGATCTGAACAACATCACAGTGAAGAACAGCTGTCCTCTGCTCCACGAGCAGAGCTCGGGACCCCTGCTTGGGAGGCCTTAGACTCAGTGCAGGAGGCACGCTCCGGTCTTGGTGTCCTCCCCAGGGAAAGGAGAGGCTAGAGGCCACCTCCATGGTCACTTTCGGGCCAGACTGTGCGGGACTCAGAGTTGGAGGTTCTGCCTCTGTCCCAAGAGTGGCATGGACTGGTGGGGACTCAGGGCATACCTTGCCAGTCTTCCCGGCTGTCATACTGTTCTGCATTTTCATGGCTTCAATCACACAAATTTCCTGACCTTCTGCTACCTGGAAAACAAATTAAAAATGGACTGAATTTTTCAAATCAATCTAATTTCCCAGTAACACCCAAGAATAAAACCATTAAGGAATTCTTTGTCAAAAGGGCTAAAACATTCATTGAAACCGCAGTACCAACCTCAGGTCTCCTTACTCTCAGTTATCTTTAGAGACAGGAAAGGCTATTTCCTCATTCAATGAGTCCTCACTAGAAAAAACATGGGGCTGGAGGATGGGAGTGCGCTTGGAGGGTTTCCTGTGGTCACCTCTGAATCTAAACCAGGCCCTACAAGACTGGAATGTTTTCTACTTAGCTAAAATCTCCAGAAGAGCAAATCTCTCCAGATAGAAACACTAGTAGCTGCCCAGGAATGGGGAGGAAGGAATGATTGTTGATGGATACAGGGATTCTTCTCAGGTAGTTAAAGCTGTTCTAAAATTGTGGTGCACACCTGTACTTGTAGCACTTGAGAGGCTGAGGCAGGCGGATCACTGCTGGTTCAGTTCAAGGTCAGGCTGAACTAAATTTTAAAGGAGTGAATTATGTCTCAGTAAAGCTGTCATCACAAAGTCACATCTCTGATTATTGTCCTAGGGAGCTGGGAACACAGCTTGGTTCAGGAGCACGAGGACCACTGTCCTTGCCTCTGAAAGACACGCAAGTGCTGACCGCAAGGCCACTCCTGAGAAGCATCTTCTTATGCCAGAAATGACTTTCAGAGCTCTGCTCAGGCCTTGCAGGGAGCTGACAGCTGCGGCAGGCACCCACAAAGCTGTGTGTTCTGATGTTTGCCTTTTATTATGAGGGAAATCCAGGCTGAGCTGGGTGCAAACCCACTGGTATTAAACTGGAATTGGCTGTGACTAAAAGCTACTCCTACTTATTCACTTTCTGCAGCCTCCATGGGGATGAATGGATTAGCTGGGCCATATTCCTCTGAGCTCTGTGGAAACAGCCTTCTAGCCCCTGACACTGCAGCACGAGGCCTGCAAGGTGTGGGGGGCATGCTGCATGCGCTCAGGGTCAGTCACCACGGGCTGTGCTTGGCCAGGGGTGCAGAAGCACATGAAGAACGTTCTTTCCTGTGGTCCCCAAATGATCTCCAAGTCCTTTCCCAGCCCCTACAGTGGCCAAGCTGTCATGCTGGCAGCGCGTAGTGCTAAGCCCTGTGCGTCCTTCTCTGCTGTTCAGGTGGTGGGCTACTTTTTCCTGGCACAGAAACACAGGAAGAGAGGGGATGCCAAAGCTTCAGAGCTGGCACGGAGGAGACACTGTGCTGGCGAGCAGGCTCAGAGGAGCTGTGCTCACTGCCGCTTCTGATTCTTGTCACCTGGCATCTGCAGTCCACGGACAGGCCAGAGACTTTCAAGGGCTGCTCTTCACAGGCAGGAAATGGGCAAGGGCAGCACTGAGGCACACAAGTGCCCCAGCCAGAGGTGTTGGGATCACTGCTCCCTCATGTCCTCACTTTAGACCTTGTTCTCTCTGCAGAGCAAGGGAGGGACCAAGAAAGACAGAAGAGCAGAGCCCTCAAAGTGGCCCCTGTCACTGAGCTCAGTGTAGGAGGGCCTTGCAGACCCAACTTGTGGCTTCCTAGATAGAGCTGAGGGTCCAGCTGCTGGATGCTAATCACTCTCACCCACACACTGGGTGAGCAGGCTGCGGGGCAGGGGAGCCCTTTGGGAATGGACCTAATAGAAATTCTACCCAAAACAGGAATCCATTCTCCACCTCTGGGCTCTGGCCCCTATTCTCTCCACAGATGGATGAGCTCACACCACAGGTACTTGTGTACTGGCCTCCAACAAGGGTACCTGGCCTGTCTTCCTCTGCGAGCATCTCAGAGCCCCAGCTTGCCACCCTTGCCCCATCCCTTCTGTTTCTTGGGCCCCCTGCCAGCAGATATGCCTCGCCCCTGCCTATCCCCTTCTCTTACAGAATGTTCCCTGATAGCCTACAAACAGCGAGCTACATTTTGTACAACACATGCATGTATACCAACACACACCTGTTAAGTATAAGCTGGACCTAATTCCAACATATTTCATCCCTGAAAAATCAACTCAAGGAAGCAAGTACAGTGAGCACAAACCATGCGCCAAGAATGCAGTGGACACACAAGGCACATGTGCCTGATGCTGCGCAGTGGTGTCACTCTGGTGACACCAGGTGCTCCAAGGCCTGGGCAGATGCTGAGCCAGGCACCGGCCCCCACCGAGAGGCACCTCTAGGCTCAGGTGAGACCTGTTCTCTCGCCTCTGGTTGTGGAAGCCTGGCTGCTTGTGTTGCTTTTGCCCCTGCAGGACACGCCACGCACCTGAGGGTATAAGAGTGCTGACTGGCAGCTCCCAAGGCAGCAAGCACCTTCTGTCTGCCTGGGTGCAGGAAACCAGGCATTAATTGGGCACATGGAGCAGCTCTTCAGCCTGCAGTCTCAGACAGCATGCTGGCAGGCCTGCCTCTGCCACATGTGTGTGCGCACACTTTTCTAACACTTTTGTGAGTCATCTGATAAGGACTTAATGATTGTGACAGGATGTCTCCAATGTTGGGCTGACTGGTCACAAGCCTCACAAGTCTTTCTGATGAGCCTGCTCTGCCTGATGTATTTCTTTGCTCCCTGTCTAATTGGTTCAGAGTTTGGAGGCCTGAATCCTGTATCTTTCATCCAGCTTATTGCGTCCTCTCCTCTGACATGGGGTCAAAGTTCACATTCACATCCGATTATCAGAGCGGCACTCATTAAGCAGGAGCCAGCCTTGCCCCCAAATGAGTGAGCTTGAGGGGGAACTCAGTCCATTTACTCAGCAGATTTTCGCATGTTTAGGAGGCCCGGATGTCACCCGGCATTGGTCTGTGCTGAAGAGTTTCAGACATCTCCAGCTGATGATTAATTGTGAGTGATGGGAAATAAAATCCAGTAAAGCCAGCTGCTTGCCATGGTCGGCAAAATGACTCTAATGGATAGAGGCTGCCAATTTTCCAGTTTTACTGGCAAGTCTTCCAAGTGTAATTAAGGGAAGTTATAAATGATATGGAAATCTATCAAGTTCCATTTATTTTCAGAGGACTCTTTCCCCAGAGACTTTTATCTTGAAGCTTATAGTATGCTTTGTTGTGCTAATGATTTAAGCCACATCTTGTTTCTGATTAAAGCCCCCAATCTCCTTCTACGAAGTCCTCTTCACTCCTTCCACAAAGATTAAAAGACACAGATCCTTCTGCACACGCCTTCGGAAAATACAACATGACTAGGACACATTTGGCAACACATATCATGCAAACTGCAAACTGCCTTCGTCCCTGAGAAAGCTCAAAGAAAGTGGAGGAAAGAAAAGAGACGGCAGGGAAGGGGAGACTGCCACCAAACATAAAAGGAAGACCCCAAAAGTAGAGACTTGAAAGCTGTACTTGAGACCAGATAGTCATCAGAAGGTTGTATAGCCCACTAATGTTATTTGATTTGGAATAAAAGCATGAAAATGATGGCAGAGGCCTAAAATTGGAGATGTAAAGGATGACTGCACAGTATTCCATTTCTCAATTTCATCCTTCAGAGCCACAAAATGGGGGTGATACAGTGACTGGATGAGATTTACAGTAACAGCTGTGGTCTTCCCACACAAGGGAGGCCCTTCTAATGGGCTGAGGTCTGTTGGCAACAGACGGGGAGGAACAAAACAAGGTTCCCTATTAAGAGTGTGCAGTCCTATTTCTGATAAAGAAAATCATTATAGGAGTCAGGTTTCCTTTAAGACAGCTTCTGCTCTCTTTTGTGGACTGAAAGCAGGGCCTTTTTAAAGGTGCTCACGTTTAAACATAGGCAAGAAGACGCAAATGGCGTCGGTTTAGTTCCCCGCTTGGAAGCCCACTCTCTACCAACTGTAAAGAATGCAGAGGAAACCGTGCCAGTGGCATATGGCTTTCTACTGTGCTAAACATTCATACAAAAGACAGGTTCATCAGTCATTGGAGTATCTGGATAAAAAATTAGCTCCTGATGGATGGTATTTTGAGCTTACCTGCTGCTAGTACATTACCCGAGAAACACAGGTTTTGAAACCCACATGACATTAGAAACTGCAGACCATGAAACACGACACGTGCAGGGGCACATAATGTACACCAGACCATACAAAATAATAAATAAGCTACTTAAACCCTCTGCCTAAAATTGGGCCCGCTGCACGGAACCCTGGGTCACTTCTACACAGGCCAATTAATGCGCAGCATCTGCTGTATAGAAGCAGGGCATGAAGCACTTCCGAACGATTTCGGCAATTAAAAGAAAACTGTTTCCTGCCTGTTCAGACAACAACTGTTTCCCTGCAAGAATGAGCACCAAATCACCGTGTGCAGCTGAAAAACTCAGTCCCCTTTTTGGGGAAGACGCAAGGGAGGAGCATGAATTTTGATAGAAAAAGGAGCCTTCTTTTGTTGTCCTATGTTCTATGTTTTTCTGCCAAATGAGACAGAAGGCTCGAAGGGCTTATTGGCCTGCTGCAGTCTCCCCTTCACTGCCCTGGGCCCCAAAAACCAGGGATCAGTGTCAGCACTGCTGACTACTCCACACAAGTGAAAATCCTTCAATTACACTTTTACAGACTGTGCTGCTTAGCACACAGGTGCCTCAAAGCAGCGCGTACTGAGGCCTCCAGATCTCAGAAGGCAGTTCCGATTCGGTTGAAAGGCAGGCTGGAATCTGATTATTCCAGCTTCCTCTTTCTAAGCTGCTAAGATAGCTACTAAATATGCCCTGGTATTTCCTAGAGAAGAAATGTGTTTCTTGCAGCATCTTCATGTAAAGCGGGAGGGAGTAAGAAACCCAGTAGACTGCAGTAGTCAGAAATGTCCCCAAAGCCCTCCACTGAGGCGCTGAGGCCTCCAGGCACCCTCACTCTGGGGACGGTGAAAGAAGAGGCCACATAGTGATTAACGGTTAAAGGCTGCTGGCTCTGGAACTTCAGGGCCGCCCTCTGCCTCCTTCTTTTCCTGGGACTACCCTGTT